AAACAGCAAATCCCAAGCGAGTCTACTTTAAGGAAGAATTATGTGGACACAAACTATGCCTTGGCATTGCAGAGAATTAGGGATGAGGTGCAGGATAAGAAAATTTGGATTTCAATACGTGAAACAACGGATGTCATGGGTAGGTTCATTGCCAACGTTATTATTGGTACTTTGGAAGTTGCTCAGATGCCGAAAATTTACCTGCTAACCTCAGAAAAACTCCAGAAGACTAACAGTTCAACAATAGCTCAACTTTTTACAACAGCCCTCGCTTTGCTTTGGCCAGAGGGCATCCAGCATGAAAATGTTGTCCTCTTCCCGACAGATGCAGCACCTTACATGAAGAAGGCAGCAACGGCACTTAAGGTACTTTTCCCGGAAATAATACACCTGACTTGTTTAGCCCATGCGCTTCACCGGATTGCAGAGCATGTACGCAGATTGTTCCCCAGTGGCGATAAATTAGTCTCTAATGGCAAGCAGATATTTCTCAAGGCTCCATTAAGGTGTGATGTATTCAAGGAAATTGCACCTCAACTCGCATTGCCGCCACAGCCAATTTTGACGAGGTGGGGAACGTGGATTTCGGCTGTACTGTACTACGCTTCTAATTTGGACAAGTTTCAAGACATCATAACGAGTCTCGATGACAAAGATTCTTCTGCTATCCACATCGTGAAGGAGCTACTGCAGGATAGATTGCTACGCAATGATCTTGCATTCATTGCTTCAAACTATGGAAACCTGCCAGAGGCCATCAATACACTGGAGAAAAGCAACATGCCTTTGATTGATGGTTTGAAGTGTTTTGAGACAATCGTTGCGGATATAACTCAGGTTTCCGGTGATAAAGGAAAATCTGTAAGTGAAATATGTGAACGAGTGATTGCTGCAAACTGAGACCTGGAAAAAATCAAGAATATTAGAAAAGTTCTTGAAGGACAGAATGATGCAGAAGTTGGGGAAATGAATCCGCAGATCGTGGTATGTTTTAAATATGCTCCTGTGACGTCAGTGGAGGTAGAGAGATCATTCTCGCTCTTCAAGAATCTTCTATCTGACAGAAGGCATGGGTTCAAATTTGAAGACATCAAGAAAATGCTTGTTATTTCATGTACCCAGACTGATTAACCTGCATATGTACCTGGTGTAAACCGAAAGTTGCGAATTCGTATTCAGGGACAAGTTGTTGGAGCTTCCAATAACTTGATGACATAAAACCATTGACTCTTAGGCTTCTATGCCCTTGACTCTTCAGGCTTCTACGCCCTTAACTCATGAGACATAAAGGCAAGTATGAACTTAGCATGCTTCCCTGTTGGGCACTGTAAACGCTTCTGCGCTTCACCTTACGCAAGGTTGTAGGGGGATGCCCAATAAAAAATAAAAAAACCTGCATATGAGTAATAGTTATGGAACTTATGTACTTAAGTTATATTTCTAGTTTTATTTCTATAATTGCTCTGGGAATAAATGCCTTTTTAATGCCTTTTTAATGCCTATTTTATTTTGCCTTTTTGCCTGCCTATTTTGAAGTTTTTTTAGTGCCTAAACATCCGGGCCCTAGTTATAATACTGAATATTACACAAGTGATATCAAGAACTTAACCCCAGCATAAAAAAAGAGGGACCACTGTAATTCGGTTTTCCTAGTAACAATCTTATTGCAGATGCCAGACGTGTTACCAGTACAGTACTATAAAATTCTGTACATGTTCTTATAGTCTATACTGAAAAAAGCAGTTTTTTTCTAATAAACAGTTATTGTGATATAGTCCAGAATGCAACGTCTAGCTTTATACCTAGGTATGTAAATGCCTAGCATCAACTCGCCAGGCCAACACACAGGCAATTAAAACATCTAATAATAACTTAAATACGCAATATTAGGACACGTCGCTACCTGGCATTTAATTGCAATTCTCAAAACCCCCAACCCCACCCTCCATCACACGCACTGCCACCGTCATCTCTTGCCCTAGAGCGAGCAGTAAACAAATGTCAAGTCTCGAGGGGTGGAGATGGGTGGGATGTCGACGTCGCATTCTGGACTATATCACAAAAATTTTTTTTTTTTTTTTTAAACGTCTTTTTGTTCAATCCAGAATGCGACGTCTAGCTTGACTACCTGAGCAGGAGGTGGAGAGGGAGGTGATGTTGCGTATAAGGCTCCGCTAGCTTAGGTCCAGATTATGATTATAAATTGTTTTGGAGTATTTTCCAATACTGTATTAGGAACATTTACCGGAAGGTAAGATGTTAATTTACATATCCCAATGAGGATACTCACTTTATTCTGATGAGGAAGACGGTCCTGGTTGTGGAGATTGACTAGGTGGGGGAGGGGACCCCAGCACCACCACATGTGAAGCATCTTTCGGAGATAGATGAAGATAGCTGTCTTTAAAAGGTTTTTGAAGATCTCCAAAAGCCCACTTCTTTGATCTGACTGAGGCTCATATGCCACAGAAAGGCCACAGACCCTGAATATTTCTTGGTGTCATGTGCCAAAAATTTCTTGCCAAGGTCTGCTTGATTCACTAACTGAGATAAATATTTTTGACATTTGAGTAGGAGACAATTTCTTACCATCCTGTGATGAGAATACATAGGGGCCTCAATTAGGGAATCTGGTTAACCATTCTTGAAGATTCCTAACTGGGCACAATATATGAGGAACCCTTGTCTCATCCATTAGCCATTTTGTCCTAATAGGTTGAGCTTGAAAATCCTCCCTTTCATTTTTTTCTTAGGATCTCCGTAGGAAAAGGGGTGACATCTTCCTCAGAAAATACCAATAATGAAGGATTATTGGGAATTGAAATCAGCTCGCTGATTCTCATACCTGTTGCTATTGCTAGAAGGAAGGCTGCCTTCTGGAGCATTCTGCCCCGGTTCAGATTTATATTGTAATTAGGCCCCATAAGAAATTTAGTGACTTTATCTAGAGACCAAGGCGGGATTTTCTTAGGCCGAGGGGGCCTCTGAATGAAAAAGGACGATCTGAGCATTTGATAAATCCTTGGGTTCAAAGTAATATTAAAACCCCACGCCAGAGGGTCAACCAATGCTGAGTTGCAATTGTCGATGCTTGAAGGCCTTTAACTCTGAACAGAAATTCTAACACCACTGTTTCCGACAATGTGTTAGTCGTTCACCTGATAAATTGTTGAAAAAGTTTCCAAGCTTTCTCATATTGCATAGAAGTTTGGGGTCTATGACCTGCTATTACTTGGTTAACTATATTGGAATTACCCAAAAATCTATTTAAACATCTTTTGAGAAACTCCAAGCATGAAGTGCCAAGGATATCTCAAATTGAGAGTGCAGTACCTGGTCAAGACATCCTTGTTGCAATTGTAGTGGATGCGGGCACCAGTTCAACAGGTCCAGGCACCACGGTTGTAGGATCCAATATTGTGCAATTAAAAAGGACCTTGTCTTGGAAGGATCTGAGTTTGTGAACCACTTTGGGCAACATTTTCACAAGTGGGAACAGATAGATTGAATTCCAACGGTTCCAATCTATGAGTAGAGCATTTCCTAAAAGATTCGATCATTCCAGAGATGCATAAAGTGGGATCTTGTGATTTTTTTTGTGAGGCAAAGACATCCATTTTTGGAGTTCCAAACTTTCTCACTAGACTCTCGAACTCTGATACCTTTAGGGACCATTCTGTTTTCGTCGATACTGGCCTCAGACGGGACAACGCATCTGCCCAATTGTTTTGTACTCCCGGTATATGAGTTGCTTTGAGGTAAAGTGTTTGTGTTACACAAACTTTGAAAAAATTTTCCAACAGTTTTAGAAGGGGCCAAGATCTGGTTGAGCCTTGATGATTGAGACAAAACACTGCCGTTCTGTTGTCCATGGCAAACAGAATCGTCATATTTTGTAAATTTGGGTTTGCCAACAAAAAGAATAGGACTACTGCTAATTCTTTTAAGTTTATGTGTTTGTCCCATAGGGAGTTGTTCCCCTTCCCTTGGCAGAATTCCCCTTTTGAGGAATGGTATCCCCATCCTATTTCCGACGCATCCATACAAACGACCAAGTCTGTTTGGGGGGAACCCAGGGAGATGAACCGATTAGATTGTCCAAATTTGTCCACCATGACAGATGATTCTTGATCTGAATAGGTAGAGCAGCAATATTTCTGCTTCTGTGAAGCAACTTTGACCCCAGATGAGTTAGTTGCTTCTTCCTTAACTTGCCCAAAGGAACCACTATGGTGGCAAATTTCAACAGACCCAGTAGTTTTTCCTAATCGTGCCAAGAAACCTCTTGCTTTACACAAAAGGCTTCTACTTGGTTTATCACATCTGTTACTTTTGCTTCTGGTAGACTGACTGATTGCTGATTTGTTTCCCAATGGAGACCTAACCAATCCAGTTTCTGACATGGTATGAGATTTGATTTGACCTGGTTTATCTTTAATCCTAGGTTTTGAAATAGTACTAGTGTACATTGGGTCGCCCTTTGACAATCTTCGAAAGAGTTTCCCACTATCAGCCAATCGTCTAGATAAGCAAAAGTTCTTATGCCCTCCTTCGCAAGGATCTCTCTGGGGATGTTTGCCAGTTTGGGCGCAATTGTCAGGCTAAATGGCATCACCGTGAATTGATAAGTTACATCCTCCACTGTGAACACTAGAAACTTCCTGTACCTGGGAGCAACAGGAACGTGATAATAGGCATTTTCGAGATCCACTTTTGAGATCCAAGCATAAACAAAATAAAAGTCACTCGATTTCCTCACCGTGCTAAGATGTATAAATACCAAATATAAATCCTCGTAACACTTAGTATTTAAGCTATTACATCACAAATTAGCAGAGCTTTCCTTGTGTGTATTTACAGCTGATTCGCCAGGCAAGAAGATGGCGGTGGCAGTGCGTGTGATGGAGGGTGGGGTTGGGGGTTTTGAGAATTGCAATTAAGTGCCAGGTAGCGACGTGTCCTCCTAATATTATGTATTTAAGTAATTATTAGATGTTTTAATTGCCTGTGTGTTGGCCTGTCGAGTTGATGCTAGGCATTTATATACCTAGGTATAAAGCTAGACGTCGCATTCTGGATTTAACAAAAATAGATAATGATATAGAATGTACAGTGAAAGACAAAAGTCGTGTAGTGAAATTTGGTGAAAACATATGCTAAACTTTTGGTGCGCTCTACCTTGTGGTACGGGGCTCTCGTAATGTTTCAGGAGTTATATTTAATCTTTGGACAAAACCGCTACACGACTTTTGTCTTTGATTGTACAAATAATCCATTTAAAACAATTTAAAATTTTAAATACCCAGTAATTAATTTTACAGCACAATTTTAAATACTGTACTATAGTCTAAATACTGTACTATAGTCACTTTAAAACACAATAATATAAAATAACAAAAGTCACTTTTAAATATAATTTTAAATAATAAAAGTAACATTTTGAGTCACAAGTTAAAAGTAACATTTTGAGTCATAAGTACTTAACAAGTATTAAAAATTATCAATCAAAACTTTTTTTTAAAATCATCAGCTACATGATTAATTTATAAAATCCTAAAGTTCTCTCATCGATTTCCATATATTCTAATAATCATTCACACAAAAGTAAATATTAACAAGTAAATTACAATATTTTAAAAGAAACTGTATGCGGATTAAATCAGGTAAGCTGAAAAGTCTTTCTCTTTACCCACAACGGCTTAACATCGGCAAACCTTTCTGAAAAGGTGTCTGCCCATTGAACAAACCTTTCCCCATAGTGTCCACAAATTTGCAGCATTGCCTGGCAGTCTGACTCTGCTCTGTGAGCTTGATAGTTAGCATGAAAGAGTCTCCTATAGATATTTCCCAGCTTGTATGGCATTGTTCCATCCCATTTTCTCTTACCATATCCATCATATACTAAACTTCTACGGACCTTATTAGCTTCTGTAAAGGTCTGTGAATTAAAACCAGGTGTTCCTGGGGTACAAGGTTTGAAAGACTCTGGGGTGGCTGGAGGTAACAGAGGCTTTGTATGCTTGTTTGGAGTTTTAGGAGTTTTGTTCATCTTTGCTGGAATATGATCTTTCACCGGTGTAATGTAAGGTTCTGCTGAGACTTCAAATGTGCGTTGGTTGCCTTCTGGAGCATGAGATGAGGGTTTATTTGAACAACTACTGCCTGTATAGCCATGTGGTGCAAGAGTTACCCTCTCTTCTGCAAGTTCCTCAGAACGAGTTCTTTTGCTAACTGGGGTTACTTCCATCTCTTCATCATCCATATCTCCAAAAGAAAATGATGCAGCAAGCACAGTTATTTCTGATATATCTTTCAATTCCTTATCTCTTTCCTGAACAGCATCAATATCTTTGATAGCTTTTAGAGTGTCTACACAGTAGAAATTGGAATACTTTTCTGTGGAACATACATTACTTAATTCTGCCTTCAGCAAAGGGAAGTCATACCTATTACCATTGTGTGCCACCAGTGACAAGGGTTGAGGCAAATCTAAAAACAAACGTATTGCCTCTGCACTTGCCTCACTGAAGCCTGGTAAACGGTGAAGCAGTTCATTACTCAGTCCAGTTATATCTTCAACAGCAGGCATGATAAGTTTCCTTGGATAATATAGTCTTGTGTACTTGTGTAGTACACGTGGCAACTGTGGTATAATAGATCTTTTATTTTCATTGGTAGAATTAGGATCTGAAGGAGTACTCTTACCTTTATGACTGGAATCTTTCATACCAAGGAAGTCATCTCTAGACACAGCTATCATGGAGAGCTCTAAAATTCTGGGCGAGTCTCCAGGCAAACCAGTAGCTTCCAGGTCCAGAAAAACAAAAGTCTGTATTTTGTTTTTCTCTCCTTCGTCATTCTGTTTTTTGCTCCCTTTTCTTACTTCGTTCTGATTTTTGCTCTCGTCTCCTACTTCATTTTGTTTTTTGCTCTCCTCTCTTACTTCAGTGGGCCTCTCCATTCTTATGCTTACAAACTGAAAAAAAGGTAAGAGTAATATGTGAATAACTTATAATATAGTATAAGTATCTTTTCCCTTTAACTGCAAAAGCACCATCATCATCTTAAGGCAATAATTATTTGGAGCCATGAATTTAAAGCTATGTGCCAAAATTCATAATAAGAATGGAAAGTTGATTATTGGTAGACACTTTAGAGTGAGACACAAGGCTGGTGGAGCCTTAGAATCAACCTGTTTTCATAATTTTGGTATGCCTCATCACCCTCCTCCTATCCTCAGTGGCCCCCAACCACACCTACATGCCACAGCCTGGCTCACGACCAACGTAAGGGCTTGCCACTGGCTTTGCACCACTAAAACCAGTAAAGATTGGTTAGGTTAGTTTAAGCTAGGCCAACTGGGGGTCGGGGGTTAAGGTTATGTTAAGTTGTTAGGTTAAGTTAGATGACTGTTTTGTGTTCTACCCCACCCAAAACCCAAATTTCCAGGCTCTCCCCCATTGTTGTTGGGGGGTATAAACGAGCAATTTCCGAGAAAAATGAAGGATAGATTCGCTTAAAACACACCAAAATACAATGGAAAAAACATATTGGTCAACCACTCGGGATTCATGTCCGAAAGTAAAAATTTACCCAAACTAATCTAACCTAACCTAGCCACAGATCCCAGGAAATATATCTAACCTAACGGGGTGGTCGAAGATTCCCCGAATGACTGCAACTAAAATAATACCGTATTTTCCTCCAAAATAATTACTTTCCCATAATGCCCGTAAAGTTCATTAATGCATATAAAAAGCGAAAATAACAGTAAATTAACTTTTTCTACAGAAAACAAAAAGGTTAATAAAACGAATCATAACCCAAAAACGGTAAATTTTTACTTCCACCTCCCCATCTGTTAGAAAGTTAAAAATATATTTTTCTAGTGTATTTGTGCGTGTTTCGACCGAATATGACCTTCATTTCCGTCGGAAATTGGCCGGTTTTTTTATCTAATTTTTTTCGAGACGTTTTTCAAAAAAATTAATAGCTAAGCGAATAAAAAATACACCAAAACACACTAGAAAAACCAAACCTGACCTGACCTAACTGACTCTCACCATATGATGGAATCACCTATTTCTTACCTTAGTTGGCCTGGAGACCAGGTTCTTGTTCATCGTTGGATTCTGAGATTCTTACGCAACGCCACATATGTTGGTCTTTGCGATATCTACATTCAGTCTTGCTCTTAGTACACTTTACTGAGATTGGAAAAATACCATGTGATCGAAAAAATGCTATAATTTCTTCGTTTTTTTTTTCCCCAAAACTCACAATCAGCTCCATATAATTTAGGTGACACCCATCGCAGGCTTCCATGGTCGGAACTGAACTTGAATTTCGAAATATGAGCGACCCAAAATAAAAATCGATTTTGATTGGTCCAAAAATACCGCGAATTAAACCCAAAATCATTTTAATTGGTTGCAAAAAAAAAAGGCTTTTGATTGATCGCGTGACGTATACGGGAACGCATGCGCATGACGATTTATGAATGAGTCACGCAGGAGACACGCAATGTGAAAGGTGAAGTATGCCATAAATGGCCGAAGTTAATGAAAGAAAATCAAGAAAATTTTGGATTTGCTATCTCCGTTAATACACATTTCCGTCGGTAATGTAATAGATGAAAATGATCTTATAATTACACGTCTTATTAGAATATGATAATAGATTAGTGGTAGGAAATGGGAATGTTTAAAGAAAATAATACCCCAAAAACCACCACCTCTACCGAATCAGAATATGTGGGACCACAAGAATACCCTTTACCACAAAAACAAACTGAGGCCGAGTACCTACCAAACTAATGCAAATATCATCATACTCTATACTCATCTCACCAACTTTATCAAGAAATTACCAACATTCTATTTCCGGCAATATGTTGACAAATAATCGACATTAAAGGTGCTTGTGTGAGCCCTTCTTTACTTGCTCAGCTAGATGGCACTGCGGGTGTGGAGAATTACTTAGGAAACAACATTTTGTAACCTTATATCATATTTTCGCCACTTATCAGCTTACTAGTCGTTTGGGTGGTTTATCCAGTGTTAATACAGGAGGAAACCGGGAAACCTGTGGTGTTTGGTAGGCTCGAACCCTTGACATATCAGTGAGAGTTATGCGCGTTACCGCTGTACCATCAAAAGCGACTCCAGAGACTAGATATAAACAAAATGTTTAATCCGTGCAAATATTTTCAGAATATCAAACTGGGAAAAATATTCACCATATACCTTAGACATAAGGGTGAGAGACGCATGCCACCCCACGCCCCAGCCGTGTTATTGTTTACACGCTGCGTCCTGTTGCTGAGGCTCAACTGATAGTTCTATTTACAGCCCTAGACCCAGTCATATAAAGGACATTTATCTTAATTCGTTGTATTAATTTATTCAGAAATACATATATATATATTTTGAGAAAACAGTCATATTTATTATTCTTAACAAACAAATATAAAGGAAATCAAAAAATATTTGTTTATACAAATTTGAGAAATGAGTCTTCCTTGTAAATGGCCTTTCTAAACTGGTACCCAGTTGTGATATACATTAACAGGTATTTACTTTAATGTCATCATCGCCCCTGGGCCCTGGCCAACTTGTTAATTTGTGGGGTATGAGTTGTTTGGTTCACACTCAGGATGGGATGGAGAAAGGAAACTCACAATATGCTCTCTGTATACATGTTGTATTGGATGTACAATGCAGCTTGGTGCTGGGAAGGCAGCATGGTTACAAGCGTGATGTAGAGAGAGCTGGTTGGTGAGGGTGCTCAGAGGAGGACAGCTTGCGGGTCGCCATGCTCGCCCGCGGGAGCGAGGGCCGCCAGGGAGGCGGAGGAGGAGGAGGTGTTGCTGGCTGGTTTAGGTGTTGGTAGAAAGAGACAGGTCACCACGAGGTCAGGTCTTAAATAGCGGGGGATAGGCGTGGCTTAGTAGTTGACCCCCGCTCCGTGGGCGGCGCTGGTTGACCTAGACCACGAGGCATACACTGGGGAATTGGTGGGGTCGGCTACTCAGCGACAAACAGCGTTTGTAGGGGAGAAATCCACTACAATACTCCCCCTTCCCTCCAGGCGGTGTAGGAGACTTGTTGTCTGCAGGGTTGCATGGCACATGTGAGGCAGAACGAGCGGTGCATGCCTCATGTGAGACAACGGCGATGGCGTGGATGAGCCGGTCGCTGGACACAACTGTCTAGATACACAATATCTGTGGGAGAAAAAGGGTGTGTCGATGAATTTTGTTCTTCCCTCACGGCAGGTACAGAGTCGTCAGATGCTCCTGCTGGGGTGTGTGGGCCTGGGTCAGGAGCAGGGGCTGCGTCAGCAGAAGCAGATGAGGGCTCGTGACAGCAGCTTGGTCCACGACAGCAGCAGGGTGCAGGACATTAGCAGGGAGTACCTGAGGGAGAAAAGAGGGGTGTGTGGAGGCGATGAATGTTGTGCTTCCCTCGTGACAGGTACAGAGTCGTCAGATGCGCCTGCTGGGGTGTGTGGGCCTGGGTCAGGAGCAAGGGCTGCATCAGCAGAAGCGGATGAGGGCTCGTGACAGCAGCTGGGTCCACGACAGAAGCAGGGAGTACCTGAGGGAGAAAAGAGGGGTGTGTGGGTCCGCACTCAGAAGCAGGGGCCGCGTCAGGAGAAACGGCAGGGGGTACTGCTGGGCCAAGGCGGCGTCTGAGGCAGGACGGGTGTGTTGGGGTCGGTAGGACGTGGTGCTTGGGGCAGGAAGAGGAACGGCTGTCTGCTTATAGTCGCAGAGCTGCTCTAGGGTGTCTAACCTGCGGTGTAGAGACAGTAGATGTAGAGGCGATGAGAGCTGCCTCTGGGTGGATAAGCCAGCCTTCCATGTTGCTTGAAGACTGGGAGAGTGATCTGTTTCTCCTCCATCCTGTGTGAGTGCGAATCTCCGGGGGTCACCATTTGTGGGGTTCAGGATATTTGGTTCACACTCAGGATGGGATGGAGAAAGGAAACTCACAATGTGCTCTCTGTATACATGTTGTATTGGATGTACAATGCAGCTTGGTGCTGGGAAGGCAGCATGGTTACAAGCGTGATGTAGAGAGAGCTGGTTGGTGAGGGTGCTCAGAGGAGGACCAGCTTGTGGGTCGTCATGCTCGCCGGCGGGAGCGAGGACCGCCAGGCAGGTGGAGGAGGAGGAGGTGTTGCTGGCTGGTTGGTGGAGGTAGAAAGAGACAGGTCACCACGAGGTCAGGTCTTAAATAGCGGGGGGTAGGCGTGGCTTAGTAGTTGACCCCCGCTCCGTGGGCGGCGCTGGTTGACCTAGACCACGAGGCATACATTGGGGAATTGGTGGGGTCGGCTACTCAGCGACAAACAGCGTTTGTAGGGGAGAAATCCACTACAATACTCCCTCCTTCCCTCCAGGCAGTGTAGGAGACTTGTTGTCTGCAGGGTTGCATGGCACATGTGAGGCAGAACGGGCGGTGCATGCCTCATGTGAAACATAAAGGCGATGGCGTGGATGAGCCGGCCGCTAGTGGAGGCAACTGTCTAGACACACAAGATCTGTGGGAGAAGAGAGGGAGAAGAGGGTGTGTGGAGGCGATGAACGTTGTGCTTCACTCGCGACAGGTACAGAGTCGTCAGATGCGCCTGCTGGGGTGTGTGGGCCTGGGTCAGGAGCAAGGGCTGCGTCAGCAGAAGCAGATGAGGGCTCGTGACAGCAGCTGGGTCCACGACAGCAGCAGGGTGCAGGACAGTGGCAGGGAGTACCTGCGGGAGAAAAGAGGGGTTTGTGGGTCCGCGTCAGGATGAGCGGCAGGGGGTACTGCTGGGCCGGGGGCGGCGTCTGAGGCAGGACGGGTGTGTTGGGGTCGGTAGGACGTGGTGCTTGGGGCAGGAAGAGGAGCTGGTGTCTGCTTAGAGAAGCAGAGCTGCTCTAGGGTGTCTAACCTGCGGTGTAGAGACAGTAGCTGTAGAGCCGATGAGAGCTGCCTCTGCATGGGTAAGCCAGTCTTCCATGTTGCTTGAAGACTGGGAGCGTGATCTGTTTCTCCTCCATCCTGTGTGAGTGCGAATCTCCAGGGGTCACCATTTGTGGGGTACGGGTTGTTTGGTTCACTCAGGATGGGATGGAGAAAGGAAACTCACAATGTGCTCTCGGTATACATGTTGTATTGGATGTACAATGCAGCTTGGTGCTGGGAAGGCAGCATGGTTACAAGTGTGATGTAGAGAGAGCTGGTTGGTGAGGGTGCTCAGAGGAGGACAGCTTGTGGGTCGCCATGCTCGCTGGCGGGAGCGAGGACCGCCAGGCAGGCGGAGGAGGAGGTGTTGCTGGCTGGTTGGTGTAGGTAGAAAGAGAGAGATCACCACGAGGTCAGGTCTTAAATAGCGGGGGGTAGGCGTGGCTTAGTAGTTGACCTCCGTGATGTATGGCGGCACTGGTTGACCCAGACCACGAGGCATACACTGGGGAATTCCCGGGGTCGGCAACTGAGCGACAAACAGCGTTTGTAGGGGAGAAATCCACTACAGGGTATCCACTGGCCTGACTCACTAAAGCACAAGAATGCAGGCACTATGCTGAATATCATAACTAACAAAGTGACACTTTTACTTTTATCCTCTTCACCACTGATGGCGCGTTAGCCGCTTGGGCGATCGGTCACGGCTCTGTTACTTTTCTTTTTATATTCTCTTCAATTGATCGGCTCGTTAGCCGCTTGGGCTATCGGTCACGTCTCTGTTACGCACTGTTGGTAAGTATTGGGCATGCACCGGCTCCTGAATGTACCTGAACCTGCTCCAGTGTTGGTCAAGTCTGGTCTTGAAAGAGCTCACACTCGGTGCCGTCACAACACTTTCTGGTAGATTGTTCCAAGAGTTCACAACTCTCACTCCGAAAAAGATTGCTCTCACAGTTTTCTGTACTTGTGGCTTCTTGAATCGTGATTTGATTTTGCCGCTTACAGTGTGGGGTTATGAGATATTGGTTCACACTCAGGATGGGATGGAGAAAGGAAACTCACAATGTGCTCACTGTATACATATTGTATTGGATGTACAATGCAGCTTGTTGCTGGGTAGGTAGCATGGTAATAAGCGTTGAGTAGAGAGAGCTGGGTGGTGAGGGTGCCCAGAGGAGCACGCGGCTTGAGGGACGCCAAGGTCGCCGGCGGGAGTGGGAGCCGCCAGGCTGGCTCGGAGGAGGAGGTGTTGCTTGCTGGTGGCACTGGGTAGAAAGAGGCTGGTCACAGCTGTGTCAGGCCTTATAAGGCGGGGGTAGGCGTGGGTAGATAGTTGACAACATCAGAGCTATGAGTTGTGTATGAAAGATTAAAACCAATACACTTGTCTAGACCCCCGCCATAGATGTGTGTTGGTTCATTATTACCAATAATTTGAACATCTTCATATGCGCTGAGAAGTGAGATAAGTCTCCTACCATTGGTGTTAGTGGTGGAGTCACCCAATTTCTTGTGTCTAGTATTCAGGTCACCCATCAGGACAGTGGGCTCAGTGTGTAAAAAGTCTGGGAGATCTGTGTATTGAAGCTGATCTGAGGGAACATAGGCGTTTAGCACGTTGAGTGCGGAGTTACCGAGGTGGATAGTGATCCCATGGTACTGAAGGTTGGTAGTCTTTTTGGATACAAGAGGTACATGCGGGAGTGACTTCTTAACATACATCAAACATGTGTGAGTAGAACTAGGATCATAATACACATAATTGGGCAGACTGGGTGGGGGCTTACCATTAGGTGTGAGACACTCCTGCAGACACACAATATGGTTGTCCTCAGTCACAACTTTGTGGTGTAGGTCAGGGTATCGTTTTCTAAGGGATGAGATGTTCCAACACATCACCTTCACCGCTCTGTATCTTTGTCTGGTATTAACACTGGCCATTATGAAATGTATTTGGAAAGAAGCAAAAGGCACTGTATGATACTGTTCTTTTCTGCACTGCTTGTCCCTTCGGCAGGCAGTAGGCCACATAACGTTTTTGAAACATTTCTGGAGCATGTACGTCTCAACAATTGTTGTAAGTCAGTGGGAGCCAACGACACACTTTGGTTACACTCGACATCACCACCATTTTCTGTTTGTGTTTGTTCATCTTCACTGACCATGTCCACAGAGGCATCAGTAGAACTGTTACCAGTATCACTATTTTCCTCTGCGTGGACACTAGTTCCTGGTGGGTCTTGAGTTTCCACATCTGGTACTAACATCTGAATGTCTTCAGTTTGACTGTAATCTTTCCATAGCTGCTGCACTGTGTTGGTGGTGTTCTTTTTCTGTAGTGTATCACAGAGGCTCCTTAACATATCAGTTTGAGC